CACCACAACATCAGTCTCACCCTTGAAGGCTGCTTGCATCAGTGCTGAGTTCCCATGCTGTGTGATGAGAGATTCCCATTATAGAATGCACATGTGCAGTACATTCAAGATGAAGTGACTCTGATCTTCCGACCAGTAAGGTTGACAGGTTCATTTTGAACCAAATTGTTTTTGCTGAAGTGACAGTCGCAGTAGTGGAACAAATCTCCCATGATAGGCAGAATAATCTTCTTCATGCAAAAGCAGCTGTGTGCACACTAGCCATTAGCCCTCTGATCACTAAGTACGGTAGTAGCTACTTAGTATATAGGGATGACACAGGTTGTCCTGCATTATGCCCATACATTTGAGATTTGTACATTTCACTTTCAGTTTCAATCAGATCCAACTTTTGACACATCAGACTGATCCGTATCACCACAAAGAGCATGTACCCAAGAAATGGCCTAAATCGCATAATCGGTACTTAATTTAATTAAAAAAGTCAGTTTTAAAATTGTTCTTCTTGTTGTTGTTGTTGTTCAGTTTAGACAAGCGTATCTCAAGGACAGACAGTGTATCTAGTAGTCATTGGCTGCTAAATATAGCTGCTAAATATAGGTTATACTGCGCGTCAATGGAAATACGCGATTTAGACGGCACGAGGGGGCCTGAGCTGTAGCTGTCTGAGCGCAGCGAAGACGCTACTAAGGGCTCCGAGGCCGTCTAAATCGTGTATTTCCATTGACAAGCAGTATAACCTGTTTAGACGGAGGCCGCGCCGGCCTTCAAAATCGTCCAGGTCCGCCGTCTTCCGAAAGACTCGCTCTTGCCGGGGGAAGCTAAAAAGGTCTTCAGTTTAGTTTCTTTTTGCATCGTAGAGAGGCCTTTCATCGAAGAAGCATCGGATATAGCGAGTTTGAAGTCGTCGCGGCGAGCTCTCAGCGACAGAGCGAGTTTCTTTGCGCGGAAGCTTGCCACACCCCCATCGAAGACGCCATTTTTTCCTGGCGTCTCCATGGAAACACGCACTTGGAAAATACGGGATTTAGAATCCACGTTTTACGCAATCTGATTGGTCAATTTGAATCTGCCGACGTCTAATACAGAATAAGTGGGGGGGTAACAGCCGGAGTATTGCTCTCATGAACGCAGCAGCACGTTGGAAGTTTAGGAGATAAATAGCGATAGAGTCGGGTTCGATAGACTGTGCTTTTTCCCTTGGTCCAGGTACGATCCACCAGTGTGGCTCCTTGGTAGCCTCATACCATGCTGTGTTTTGAACTACCGGTGAAATTTTTTCCTTCTGTTCTTTCGCGACCTTCATTTGAAAGAAGATGTCTCTTGGCACAATGGGTTCTGATAAATTGCCTCAAGTGAGAAAACGTTGAAGTGAGCTAAGAAAAGGTTGAGATTATAACTTATGAAGAAGATGCCTTGGGGCATGCTGTTTAGTACTTACATGTGTAGCTTACAGCTCAGCATGTGCTTTTCTTGTGCTTCAATCATGTAAGAACTGACAGAGAACATTATTAACCTATATATGACCAACCGTGGCACCGCATGCGCAGCGTAGCACGGTTATGTCTTGTGAGTGTGTCCTGCCTCTTATCCTTCATTCTATCCGTCTGTTACTTAAACAAATGACAGATGGACTTTTAAGGTTCGGCGCTTGATTTTTAACCTCTCTTAGGTGAAGTTTATGTCACTGGAAAAAGAGGTGTTTCCATTTATGGCTCAGGATGGACAGCTCTTTGCATTTGACCTGGATGGTATATCATCTGTACCTACAACTATGATTTATTACGTTACTTCACCACTGTTCAATCAATTCAGGGACCTTGGCAGCATGTACAGTATGTATTACACATATGAATATTGGATGTTAGAGAAGATGATGTAACTCTATAGTCAACTAGATGTGATCCCTGTGCTTAATGTTGACAGGTGTTTGTCTATCATCATCCACTGTCCTGAGGGGTGCACATATTTGCTCTCATGCCTGGGTCCAGTCCAGTATAATAGGGTGGCAATCAATTGTGGGGAAGTGGGTAAGACCCGAGCTAATTACCGTAATTTGCCTACTGTCATTTAGGAGTTATGATTGTGTTCTTTACAGTGGAACGTCAGAACAAGGGACACTATGAGGCCAATGGTTTTTTCCCTTGTAGAGAGTTTGTCCCTATCTTGGAGGTCAAATTATTCTCATTAATTACACACTAAAGTATTACCGTGGGTTTGAACATAAGTGTCCTTTGTAGACAGGTCGTCCATATCTCCGGAGGTCAAATAATACACTACAGTATTATCCAGCATGGGGTTGAAAATTGTCTTTTGTACAGAGATCGTCCCTATCTCGGAGGGTCCCTATAGGATGTTCCACTGTTCTGTTCTGTAGGTGAGGATGGAGAGTGTGTCAGTACTGGGTGAAGATGTCATCATTCAGGATGAACTGTATGTCAATGGAGCTCGCATCTTGCCTCACAAGAACATCACTGTCTCCAGCCCTGACCCTCAAATTATCATGTAGATTATATTTTTTCAAGATAATTATAGTACAAATTCAATGATTGATGTTAATTACCCATGCTATGCATCACTGTATAACAAGAAAAGCACTGAAGTGCAAACCTTCGGCGAATGTGCGCAGTGCGCGTCCAGCTAATGCGTTTTCAAGACCACCTACTACCCTACCCGCTCTGTCTCCCGCATAGTAGCCCTCTCGGAGAGTCTGACACGGGCTAGCTACAGTAGTAGATACATAGATGCGGAGGAGTCGATCACATCCTCATTCGCTGTGCTCTTGTGCTCCACAAGCGCCCTAATCGACGGACGACGAGCCCGAAGTAGAGTAGAGCCTGCGCTCGCCGGCCCAATAATATGTATACTGCGATGACGCGTCTAATACACGCATGCGCACCGTTTATTGATGGGGTTGGGCCACGCAACGCTGTCCGCGACCGTGCCAGTTGGTCGCTAAATCGAACGCCGTCGTTTCAGCAAAATCGCCATTTTGATTTTCTAGCCCATGTAGAGTCAAAGCCACCGATACATCGGACGGCATGTATTCTCGATGCATTTGTGAAGTCTGTGCAGGACTCAGATTGGCGACTGTGTAACCAAAGTGTAGTTCTGGTCATACACTGTTGTATTCATCAACAATCATATAAAACATTCGGCCTCTCTCCGAGCTTTACAGCACACCAACCCACCCCACACACGCTGGGAATGACGTTGCCGTAAGTACGATCGGGCCAGCACGTTCAGATCAGGCCATCACAAGGTAGACAGTCTCCCAAAACGGGAACAGGCTGAATGAGCCAAGCGAGTGTATGCTCGATTGATAGCTGTACCTTTTGGCTATGCAGCGACCCACAAATGGCATTTTTTGTCTTCGCTATTTTTGCTCACGAAAGTGCAAATAGGCGGGGTCGCGTAAGCACTCGTTTTACGCGAAAAAGCAGTTTTTCGGCATGTTCTTCTAACACACGCGCCGGCCGGATGAAGCTATAAAATTTTCTCCTCGTTCTTCTTGCTATATTAGATTCCTGCACACGATTTCCGTTTTTGTGAGATCTAACTTTTATTGGTAATACAAAAAATTAAATCTTACAACAACGGAAATCGTGGTGGTGCAGGCATCTAATATACGGCAAGAAGAACGAGGAGAAAATTTTATAGCTATCGGCGCGGTGTTGAGAGAGAAGAAGCAAAGAAGAAACATGCCGAAAATGCTTTTCGCGATAAAAACGAGGCTTACGCGACCCCCGCCTATTGCACTTCGTGAGCAAACATAGCGAAGACAAAAAATGGCCACTTTGGGTCGCTGCATAGCCAAAAGTACAGCTATCAATCGAGCATACATCGCTTGGATCATCATACTGTTCCCGTTTGGGCCGACTGTCCTATCTTTGATGGCCTTGTCCGAACTTGGCTGTGCCCGAATCGTACTTACGGCAACGTCATTCCCACGGTAAAGCTCGGATAAGAGCGAATATTTTTATACAACAGTTTTTTATGACCAAGAACTACACTTGGTATACACAGTAGCCAATCTAGTCCTGCACAGACTTCACAAATGCGTCCGAGAATACATGCCGTCCGATTATCGATGGCTTACTCTACCCGCTAAAGCTGTTGGTATCGCTCATAAGCCGCTTCGTATATAGCCTGTACATAATAGTGCGAGATCAATAGACTGACAGACAAACACACAGAACGACTACCGTAACCCTCGCTGTGCATGCGCGCCGAGGGTTATGACTGGCTGGTCACACAACACTATATACAACATAAGCTGGGTCCGTTTTTTATCCAGCAGTCAATGGTAACTCAGAGAATGGAAAACAGTGCAGGCTGCTTGTCACAATAATAACGTTGTAGATATTGTAGATGTTGATTGACAAAATGTATTTTTGATAAAGCAAAATAATGCATAATAATGCTACACTTAAATTAATATTGGGAAAAAGTGGAAATATGATAATGGACACATATCTACTTGACAGTACTAGTAGTAGTGGAGGGTGTCTGGTTTCCAGAACAGCTCTTTCTATTGTCCATTTTCTGTTTCCCCTCTCTTCCCTGACCCCTACCCTCTGCTCTGAGCCCTGGCTGGTCTTTCTTGTCAGCTGACTTGAGACGTCTGTCCAGGTCATTGAAGATCTGGACTGCTATCTGTCCTGACCTGTTCACCAGGTTCCTCAGAGCCTGGACAAAGAGGAGTACAGTGTTTGTTGGATGAATCAGTCTGATGTGGAGGCACACAGGTGCACAGACCTGAGATATGTTTCTTCTTCCTCTTCTCTGATGAGAGGTGATCTGGGTGGTGTCTATGATGTCCTGTTGAGTGGGAGGAGTGTCCTGATCAACAGTAGAGCTGTCTGTGTTGAGTGGGAGGAGCACTGTCATGGCCACAGTCTGAGGACTCCTACAGAACACAGTGAATTTTGGCACATGACATGGCAATCATCCTGCATAGTTTAGTATACACACATGCACAATGCTCACAAACGGATCGACACTAAACCAATACCACATAATGTAACTCTCTTTATAATATACAGGGATACTTCTAAACCACATCCAGAACCTACACACAGAGTGATACTCACATGATGACTGGTTGTGGCAGTTGGTTCTTCTTGGCAATGTTCCCTCAGAAGACTAATCACTCCCTCATAGTTATACTGAGGTCTCTCTTCCCTGTATTCGTCATAAGGCCTCCCTTCCTCTCCTTCCTCAGCCTTGACCTCAGCAATCTCCATAGCTGTCAGTCCATTCTGTACAGGGAATGGAGAGAGATGAAACAGTGATGGATGAAGATACTCAGGAGATGAAGGAAGATGATTCCTGTTGCTAGCCCTACCACAAACCTTGTCTTTGAGGTGAGGACTGGCTCCTGCCTCCAGGAGTGCTTGTGTGGTATCCCAGTCTCCTCTCTCAGCAGAGAAGTGGAGAGCTGACCATCCTGTGCCCTGTGGAGAGAGAGGGAGAGAAAGAGGAATCAGTTGCCACGAAATTTAAACAAACTGCTGCCCGTGTTCTGGAGTACCGGCCTAGATCTCAGGCCTTCTCCCCTATAATGTATACGCCTTTAAACCATGCGCAAAGTTAAAGAGGGAGAATGCTTAAAAGTTTTTTCATCATGCGTGGCACGAAAGACGTCACACCCATAAGCTATACACATAATTTATATGTACGAGTGACGTAGTGTGACGTTTGTGCCACGTATCACGTGATGAAAATCTTCTAGGCCTTCTCCCTCCCTTCTGAGCATAGTTCAAAGGTCACACATATATATTATATGTGGGGAGGAGGGAGAAGGCCTGGGATCGAGGCTACTGGAGTACTTCATTAGCTCATGCATGCATGAGTGGGGGTTAGAGTACTGCACTTCAAACCCCTCATTCCTGTAAATGGCATGTTGAACTACAAACCCACATTCCTTGAGAACAAGAAAGCACTCAGCAATCAGCCTATAAGTTGCTTCCTCTGGGTCTCCTAACATATTTGTACACTGATGTTCTATGATGCAAATTTGAATTTACAATTTTTTAAAGCTGACACCCTTATTCGCGTACTCAATGTGAACAGGGAAGGGTAAGGTAAGGTAGGGTAGGGTAGGGTAGGGAAAGCAAGGCTAGTAGCCTAGGTTTACTCACATTCTCCTGAAAGTTATGGCGTGAAAACCAAGTGAACAAGCCAATATGTAAATTAGCACAGGCTTACCTCGGCCGCGTCCGTTCGCTCTGTGTGTCTTGAAGTCACGAAGGGCATGTATCGACTCCCGCACGCTATTTACTACTGTAGCTAGCCCGTGCCAGACTTTCCGCGGGCTACTAGCGGGATACCACGAGCAAAGGCATAAAAAGCCCAGCCCTTTAAGCTCTGGGTCTCCTTACACTGATGTTCTATGATACGAATATACAAGTTGGTAAGCACTAAGCTGACACCCTTATTCCTGTAAATGGCATACTGAATGTGAATAGGGAAAAGCCTAGGTTTAATCACATTCTCCTGAATGTCCAGGTTGATGTGTTCTCCCTCCAGTAGAATGTTAGTAATGTCAGTTCTCCCACTCCTGGCAGCTATCATTAGGGCAGTGAGCCCCTCCTATATGGAGGACTGGGGGATGATATGTGGTGCAGTGTCCACAGTAACTGTGATCTCACCTGGTTCTGGAGGTTGAGGTCACTCCCTGCCCTCACCAGCTCCCTCAGAGTGGCTGGTTTATATTCCACTACAGCACTGATGACTGCAGAGTCTCCATTCTGGTGGAGAGAGTGGAAACTGAGACAGTGGGAAAGTCATGTACAGAGCTACACTACATGTCTGTAGGTCATCATGGAGAGAGTCTGAGTTACAGAACCAGCAAAACAGACAACAAACACCCTGTCTCTGTAAGGTGCTAGTGGAACACTGACTCTCTCTCATGACACACACCAAACATGAGAATGTGAGAGATATGTAAATGTAGATTCTTTGTCTAACACAAGAGATTCTCTCTCTCTCATCTTCACTAGAGGAGGCGAACAAGCTATGTATAGTAGTTACAACTGACGGGCAGAGTTAAACGCTCTAGTTAACCCTCGACGTGCATGCGCAGCAAGGGTTACGGTACTTCATGTGAGTTTGTATTTTTCTCACACCTGTGTGATGAAATGCAGATGTGCAGTACATTCAAGATAAAGTGGTACTCCAAGGCTAAGTTAAAAGTTGAACAGTAGCCATACAGCAAAGGAAACTGCTTGATAGTTAAAAAGAGCGAGCACAGTAAGAAATTGAAACACGTGTGACTTAGACTCAGGAGACGACGGTACCCTGTATTCATCACTATACATACTTTTTCCTGTAGGTCCAAATTGGCTCCTCCCTTCACCAACTCCACCACAACATCAGTCTCACCCTGCCAGGCTGCTTCCATCAGTGCTGACACCCCACCCTGTGTGATGAGAGATTCTCATTATAGAATACACAGGTGTATTAACATTCATGATGAAGTGGCTCTGATCTTCCGACCATGCAGTAAGGCTCAGAGTGTAGAGATATGTACATGTAGATTCCATGGCAAAGGAGATTCTTCCCTCTCTCTCATCTTCACTAGAGGAGGCGAACAAGTTATGCTACAG